GTATGAAATGTTGAGTCTACAACATTTCCATCAAGTTTTCAGCATAAGTCAGTCCAGACAGATAAAGGGCTGCCTCGCCCTAGTTTTCCAGGTCCTGTAATTCTAATAATTCTAATGGCTATGAAGCATTTAGTTTCATTGTGAATTAATCCTCCGAAGACAACATGACTCATTCAGCAAGTCTCCCCAGCACTTTTGGTAAATAGATTCCACTGAAAAGGAATCTATAACTTTTACTGCCATTTTATGGGCATTCATCTTTACAAAGAGCCATTTTCCAAAGTGGATTCACCTATGATGCTTTTATAACTATTACAGCCACCTGCACTAGTTGTTCTTACCATTTGTGGAGTAATGGACCTATTTGAGAATCTTGAGTGAAGCCCCCTGAATCCCAGATACAGAGCTCATGACTTTACATACCCTTCTGAAGTAGAAACCCTCCTCCTCCATCCCTCCTACCTATGGTCATGCATGTCGTCAAGCTGATCATGCACTACCTGGTGGCAACACAATGCTAGGATGGATCAGGGGCACCTTTGGGATTCAGGGGTGCCATTTAACAGAGGTCTACCTGTCATAAATGTCCTCTCTGTCAGAGGAAGGACTCAGCCAGTCTTTCATTTCTAGAATTTCACCTTCGGTTCAGGTTCTCAGACTAATTTACAAACATCCAAACTCATTCCAAAGTCTTAGAAAAAATTTAAATTAAAAAAAACAAACAAACACTCCACCCTGGTCAGTGTGGCTCAGTTGGTTGAGCGTCATCACATGCACCAAAAGGTCACCTGTTTGATTCCAGGTCAGAACATAAGCCTGGGTTGCTGGCTTGATCCCCGGTAGAGGGCGTGCAGGAGGCAGCCAATTGATGTTATGTTCTCACATTGATGTTTCTTCTCCTTCTCCCTTCCTCTCTCTCTAAAAATTTAAAAATCTTTAAAAAAAAGGAAAAACATTCCCTATTCACATGGATACATTTAATAACATGAAATCTGTGACAAAGAGGCAAAAACCCTAAATCAACTTGGCACCCCTTTTACTCTCTAACATTAGTGTAGGTAATGCACACTCTACTAAAGGGGTAAAGTCTCTTTGGAAAACAAGTAGGGAAAGGGCCAAATTTGATAAGAAAAAAACACAACACTTGCCCAAACATCTACGTAACATTTGTGAATTTCCTTCTCCTTGCGTCCCAGAAGCTCGACCCAGCGGCTTGTGGAGGACTTCTGGCTGGTGCTTCAGGAACAGGCGCCTGAACTGACCTCCTCACTCCCCAAAAGCACCTTATACAGAAGACTATGGGAAAGCCTCCCTTGTAGGGTTTTTTGTTTGGGACAATGCAAAACGTAAAAAGTGGAAGTCATTCTCCCCTGCCCAGAACACCACTGCAATAAGGATAATAATGCAATGAAGCTTCAAATGTGTACAGTGAGTGCTTTATACTTTTTTAGAGCATTTTCACACACATTATTTCAATCAACTCATACAACAGCTTTTGGCTTATAACCGAGACAGTAGAAACTAGAGGATCTTGCCCAAGATCATACAGGTAGTGGGGACAACTGGGACTAAACCCAGATTGCATGATTGGTCCGACATTTCCACCGGGTCACTAGCCAGTAAACGGGTCTCTGTCCCATTGTTGTCACCCCAGCTGATGTCTTCTCACTCTCTACAGTCAGGCTGCTTGTCAGTTAGAAACGATAGCTGTCGATATAAATTTCAAAGGGAGAAAAAATACAAGTCCTTCTTTGACAAGCATTATAGAGATATAAAAAATAAAGGTGGCATTCTTTTTTATTGCTTCTTTACACATGTCTTTCCCAGATGCAAAGGCCCTGTTGGGGAACAGTTCATCAACCTGATATTTCTATGTACACATAATACCCCTTAGTAATAGCAGAGCCTTCACACCAGGAAACCATTTGCTAAATATTCCCCACTGTCTCACAGCATGGCCTGTCCATTTCTTCCAGACATAAAACATCTGGGCTAGTACAAGAAACATAGCGAATTCAAAGAGATGTTTCCCAGATGTGCAGCTGTCCTCAAGAGTCTGTCCCAGGGCCAGCTCTGGAGATTCACATTTCCCAAGACCCTTTTCCACTGCATCTCACCATAGCTTTTATGTGACTGAAAAAAGTTCAAAGAGGTTGACCAGATAGCTGAATAGAGCACTGAGAAGGTAGCTGTGAGGAAGCAGCACAAGAGAGCACCCAGCCGGTGGCCCATGCTATGTGGTCATGTGATGGTTTTCAAAATTCTATTCACAGCAAGTGCGGTGGGATTCCCTTTCAGATGTTTCGGTCAGGTGAAGGAATTCCCAGGAAGGCTGCCACCTTCGGTGTGGGGCGCGTTCTTCTTTGTCCTGGGTGACACACAGGCACACCACAGAGCCTTCAACTTTAGGAGAAACATCCTGCAGAAAGTTGCTCATACCAGTTCTGTCTTTGGAAGAGTCACTAGCTCCACAGGCTTGTTTGGGGAGGTGACTGGGAGAAATGCTCGTTCCATTACAGGTTTAGAAAAATCTGGAAAAATACTCTGTTGTCGTGCAAACTTCTGAAAAATACATTAAAAGAGATAAGTGAGAAGTGAATATTTGGAGAAATGCACCAGTTGTCACCTCGATTCAGACTCCATTCACTAAGGGCTGCCTGGACTTTTTGGTTTGAAAGCCCTCATTACGCTGGCTACTCACTCACTTCACACTGGGCTTGGTCTATTTCACTGCTACTTCTAAACTCTAACCAGGAGATGCACTGGTTACAGACTAGGGTCATTTCAGGCCCCTACTGGTAGTTATCTGTATAGAAAAATCAGTGCCCATAGAAACAGGCATTTGCAACAAAAAACTAAAGTCACTCACTTTTAAAATTTACTGCCTAGTAATTCTAACTATCTTATATGCAAATAACTTTATGGACAAAATTACAAGCTCTTTGAGAGCAGGAACTATGTCTTACACCCCTACAGTGCCTAGCTTCATGCCTTCTATACAGTAGGTGCTCACCAGAGTCTTTTACTTAACTAATGTCTAGAGTAGCAACCAGAGAGAGGAGTACATGACCAGAGAGGCAAGATAGTAAATATAGAGATCCAATCAGTGACCAAACTAAGGAGCCCTGGCATAGCTCCTGGGTGAGATCTGTCCCGGTCCCTACGTAGCCAGCCTTTCCTTATGGCATTGAGGCAGATGGGAAAGATCATTTCCTCATGGGTCAGGCCCAGAGCTGACCCTGCTCCCCCACAACCTCAGTCAACCGAGGTGAGCAGCTATGCAGAAGAGGCTCAGAGTCTCTAAGCTGGAGCCTGCTGCCAATAGCTCACGGGCATGTCAAGGATGCCTAAGAAGTGGCCAGCCACCCTCTACCACAGGACACTCTCTGTGTTCCCTACTGCTCTGGCTTCACAGGGTTAATTCTAAAGAAGTGAGTGGAAGTAACAAAATATAAGGAGAGAAGCCCTAAGTGGAAACAGTTGGAGGGCAGGTGAAGGACACTGATCTTTCCCTGTGTGGCTGTGATGCTCACTGGCCTACAAGAACGTGCCTCTGTCCCGGCTGGGGAACAGAAGGTGTTGCCCTTTCCACCACTGTAACCGTGATGCGAGGATCCTTTGGCATTTCTCAGATTTCCTTCAATATCTTACTTCATGTCTCGTCCCAGTGCTCTGTGCAGAGCCACAGGACAAAAAACAAGCTGGGAGCTTGTTGTAATAATTCTCACAGTCCGGGGGCTCAATCAGTCCAGGGCACAGAGACTAGCTCTCTGTTATTAAATGACTTACACTGTCTACAAAACATTCCGATTGGTGCCCCGGGTGATCTTTTAGTAATAACAGATGTCTTAAGAAGATACTTACACAAGTGAAAATGATGAGTGTTAAGTAGAAAACCACCAAAGCCAACAGCAGTACAATCTCAGCTCTGTATTTCTTAAAAGTTGCTTCTCTGCGCTCCTTATGGCATCCTTTAAAAAAATAGGTGAAATATGAAGCCATTTAACAGGACTTTTCTATCATAATAAAAAGCTAAGATGCTTTGTTCCTGCTCGTTAAGTCCCTGTCTCCCATTACTATCCTCACATCTGTGCCATCGGAATAACAACAGTAACGACAGCAGTGGCGGTGATGGCGGCAGCCAGCGCTCACTCTCACTCTATCCAACTGTATGCAATGGGATTGACACATAGCATCTCACTAAATCTTCTGGGACAGGTCTGAGCATCCCATTTTACAAATGAAGGAATCAAGGCTCAGAGAGGCTAAGGGACTAAGGCAGATGGCAGAGTCAGGAGTCAGGTCCAGACTTATCCTGCTGCCCATCAGTCTCCATTTCAAATGTCCGGGGTTTCCTGGCTTTTAATTTGCATTTATATCAGATGAACCACCAGTTGTTGATCAATCTATCTTCATTGTGTTGTGTAGAATGCTGGGTGTCCTGACAGCAGGAGGATTGCAGGACTACAAAATGAGGCTGGGTAAGTAGGCACACTTTTGTAAAATTGTTAAAGCTCCTCCACCGAGACTGATGGTAAGGGTGGCCTAGAGAACAAGCTCCCCAGAGGGGTTAAAGGCTATGGTTGCAACCCTCTGGGAGGCAGAATGAGGCATTCAGCCCAGGAGGGGACATGGCGGAGACAGCCTCTTCCCACTCAAACATGACAGCCTATGTACTGCTTGGGGAAGCAAGGTTGCTAACTGAATCTCCCTGAAGGCCAGGCAGGAGCAGGTGGAGTGCAGATGATTGGGGGGGTTCTTCCCAGGGACAACCTCAAGAAAACTGTCAACCCCTAAAACTGGATTTAAAAGTTAGTGCAATAGTCTAGGGATGAATTCTCACAGGAACCTGTGACTCAAGGTTGAGAATCACTGGCCTAATGCTTCCTACCATGTATTGGGCACACAGTCTACCCCAGGCACTGTACTAGCATTTTAATGCAATATCTCATTTAACCGTCATAGCAAGCCGGTCGTAGAAATTATTATTCCATTTTAGAGATGAAAGAACTGAGGCTTAGAATCGATCAGAGATTTGTCCAAGATCACATGCTAAGGAACAGCATAGCTAACATCTGAACCAGATCTAAGTGACTCTAGAGTCTAATCACCTAGCAAAATGCAGGCCTTCGAAGAGAAAGGAAAGAAAATCAGCTTTGCTTTCACTTCATCTCTGCTCTTCCCTGCCGGGTTTCTCCCATTTCTATCATAATATTCATTGAGTGCCTACTTGTGCCAGAGACAGCAGAGACGAAAGCAGAGAATGGAGCATGTCAGGTGTAGGAAATTCTACAAAGACAAACAAAGCAGTGTAAAGGGCTAGAGATGGACAAGGGTTATGCTGTGATGGGTGTGTGTGTGTGCGCGCGCGTGTGTGTGCGTGTGTGTGTGTGTGTGTGTGTGTGTGTGTGTAATAGTGAACCAAATCAAACACTAACCAATAAACACTGATTGTGTTCTTGGGAGAATCAGAATATTATCTTGAGTCAGATTCCTTTGAAATACTGGATGGGAAAAAGTAGCTATTGTAAAAAAAATCAGGGATTATGTGACGACAACAACATGTTTGTCATTTCAAGTCTCAGCCACTAACAAGAATTGGGCAGAAGTCAAATGCAAGGCATATATTAAGCTACATAAAGATGTTATTTTAAAAAATCCAAGAGGAGATGATCCTTGTCTTGACACTTGATTCATGGAGCAAAAACGTGTGTCAGTCACTGGACATGATTTTCTTGCTGTATTCTTTTCCTTTGGCCTGAGTTGAGATATTGGGAAAGTTAACCTCTATAAAGGGAGAGAGAAGTGCTGTTCCTGTGTTAAAAAGGTAGAAACATGAAGCAGCTATGTTTCAAGGCCCCAGATGAGCAGAATAGTACACAGTTATCTGGTGTTTGGGGACCACACAATTTCTCTGTCTTCCAAAAATCAGACTTAGATACTTCCTATTTGCTCCACAGCACTCTTCCATAACTAAATGACAGTCAAGTTAATTACATGAGGCATCTTCCCCAGTCAGGCTGGGTGGATCTGTCCTCATTTACAGAAAAAAGGACACAAGTGATGGCATTCTTGCAGTAGAATTTAGCTTTCAGCCACAGATGTGCTCCAAAGCTTCTGACTTAGGCTCCGGCGGAGAGGGTCAATTTTAACACCTACAGAAAGTGCACAGGCATTTTGCAAGAAGAAAACAAGTGCAGCAGACCACCTCACCTGTCACTTTCAAGGTCACTGTGCCACTTTGGTTTCTCTGCCCTTCCGGCCCCTCCAGAGTGCATCTGTATGTGCCCGAGCTGCAGCTGGTAGTGTTTCGGATCTTCAGGGAATACAGCCCTTCACTGGGGGCCTCGAAAGGGCCCTCCTGCTCCATCTGGTGATGGTTCTGCACCTCTATCCTCTCTTCACCGCTCTCTGTAAGCTGTTAAAAAAAAGAATCATTAAATCATGCTCTACTGACAGATCCGCAAGCACTGAGCCTCCACACCAATGTGCTGCCTCTTGTTTTCACAAAACCCACCCTCCACAGATGTCTGGAAACAGTTTATTGTATGGATGTGTGACCTTTGGGGGGCGGGGGGGAGAGAATCGATGACAATTCTTTAAGGCTCTGTTTGTTTTGGAATTACATCAGGACTGTATTTTATGATCCTTCATATCCCATCCTCTACCCTACATGAAAGAGAGAGTGTTGCTATTGACGCTGATGATGAGTTGACGATGATGATCTGATGAAATGGGTAAATCACTTTGAATCAAATTTTGTTGCTGGCTGTTCTATATTAAATGTCCTCTTGTGTTCTTCAGCTACCAACTCACCCACCGACTGACTCTTATTTTTGTATTCCAGCCTTCGATTTGGAAACATTCCTAAATCTGTTAAGACCATTGCCAGACAATGATCTGACTTAAGCTGTTCTCCAAAGACAGCATATCTGTGTGATCATCCAAGACATCACAGGAGGTACCACACTTACTCTACTAAAGTAGGAAGACAGGTGACAGTAGTGCCATGTGGAGATTCTGTGTCAGATCATTTGGTCATATCGAGACACACGTGAAAGGATAGTTACAGCTTAAATTACTGTACCCAGGACAGATCAGCCTGTAGATGCCAAATTTAGCCAAACTAATTGGGTGGGTTTTCTTTCCCTGAACTATCTTTATGACTAATTGCTGGGGTCTCTTCGTCATTTCCTACTTCAAAGATTAGGCACCCGCTGCACTCACCATCAATTCTCTTTTCCCCAGGTATATACTTAATTTGCCTAATTAACTTGCCCGTCCACCTTCCAATGAAATATTTCAAACTTCTAAAACAGACTTAAACAAGCAGGGAGGTGAATCACTGTGTTCAGTGCTCAGCCCCTAGCCCTATGCTGAGTGGCTGGAGACCAGCAGGAGCCTGGGTTCAGTGGCATTCCTTTCCTGTCCCCAGCATTGTAACAGCACCACAGAGCCACCCCAGGGTAAGACACAGCATTAGCAGGCTTCACTGTCACTGTCTTTGCCTGCACCTGCCAGTGCTTCCTCCCTCATTCTGGGGCACCTACAACTCCTCTCCTCCTTCTCAGAAGAGAATCGTGCAGGGAAATATATAACCAAGGGATCAGGGGGACACCCAGTGATGCCAAGGCACTTAAGGAGAGAAAACACACACACACACCCTCAGTGGTTAGTTCCTGCTTAATTTATTAAGTTAGGGGAACATGCTACAAAGTCACCAGAAAGCTCCGGTTCCAGCTTCCACAGCCTCGGGTGTAGTTAGCATTCCTGTGGAGTGGGCTGCAGAGACATCTGGTGGCAGATTTATCGCTCCTGCATGGAGCCCTGCTCCACTCACTGGCACGGGGCTGCTAAGACTAATGGCTTTTCTCAGGCCCAGTCTATGAATGTAAATCCTATTTCTTGATGGTTCTTCTAGTGTTGAAAGGTTCCTTCCTGAATAATCAAGGATCTACAGACTGGGGCCTTTAGGTGTTCAAAAATAAAGGGAAAAAAGGAGGTGTGGCCAAGGAACCTTAGAAAAAGTTAAGGCGTCCAACGGATTCTAAAACACATATAACATAGCTCAATGTTTCCCTTTTCAGGACTAATTAAACCACACACTAAGGCAGCGATGGCGAACCTTTTGAGCTCGGCGTGTCAGCATTTTGAAAAACCCTAACTTAACTCTGGTGCTGTGTCACATATAGACATTTTTTTGATATTTGCAACCATAGTAAAACAAAGACTTATATTTTTGATATTTATTTTATATATTTAAATGCCATTTAACAAAGAAAAATCAACCAAAAAAATGAGTTCTCGTGTCACCTCTGACACACGTGTCATAGGTTCGCCATCACTGCACTAAGGCCTCATCATGTGCTCACACCTGTCCCCCCCACCCCTCACCTGAAGAGGTGCCCCTTCCCACCAGAGCTTTAGATGGGCCAGGTGTCCAAGACCATCAGGGGCCACCTGTTCCGAGACTCCCCCATCTCTAGTTTGAACTAATCAAGTCAGCTAGGTCTCTGCAATTTGCACGGTGATGTCTTTTCAAACTTAACCTCCAAATGCGTTCAACTTGCTAACAGATTTCACTGGAACTGTTTTGCTAGAAATCTCTGCATCTGAAGAGACAGACACTGGCTGCAACAATCATTTCGAGGTGATCTGCCTCTGGTTTTCTCCTCTCCTGGAGCCTCCTCTCCCATCCAGTGACCCCCTCCCTCAGCTCAGAAAGGCCCTAAAAGTCAAGATCAAAACTTCCAACCCCCTGGAGCAGGTGGAAAATAAACTATTGTGCTTATTTACTTATTTGCCATGCTGGCTGCTGGGAGCCTCCCAGGCAAGTACTGTATGCCCAGCTGATCAGAACTGCTGGCAGTGGCCTTCTGCCCATATGCAGAGGAGAATTCATTTCAAACATCGCCAGTAACAACAGCAAAAAGTAATTTATTTGATGGCCAGATTTTCATGGGCTTCTAGCAAAAACCTCCAGCGGGCCTCTAGTTATTTTCAATAGCAAAGCCAAGGCAGGGTGAGAAGAACAAACAGGAGAAGTAGGGAAAGGCAGAACAAAGAACCCCAAAGCGACCTGCAGAAGTGTGATGTCCTGAGCCACACAGCCAGCCATGGGATCACGGCAAAGTATCTCAACTCCCACGGGGTCATCTTCCAATGGCCCCTCCCTGGGTCTTCCTGAAAGACCCAGAGAACAAGGAACGCTACTGGCTTCACCTGGGAACTCTTGCCACAGTAACAAACAGCTCTCTTTGCCTGGTAACTCGCTCCAGCAAAAGGAACCTGTACATTCACACGATGTGCCTGGAAATATTTCATAACCCTCCTCTGGCATCAAGCTGTGGGTGTAGACAATGCCTATTCCCCTTCTTTTTGTTATTGTAAGATATGCCTTTGTGGGTGAACAAGGGGCCACATACCAAACCTTGCAAGCTCAGGGGAGGCCTGCATGGCGGGCCTTACAAATTCAGAGAATGAAAGTAACCACATAGGGTGGTCTGAACGTAAAAATTCCTAACTAAGAGCAGGTCCCAGCAGATAGTCATGTTCTAGGCTTGTAGCTTCCTTGACCAAGGCCAATCTTTACCTTAACTGAGCCTGTCTGTTGTGTTTTTGCATCTAAGAGAGCATACCTTTGAAATGTCAGACTAATCTCCTTTTCCAGATCCCTCAGGGCACAACCTCCCACCAGAACAGGAGACCACAGCCCCCTCATTGTTATCTTGTTCCCCACACATCATCTCTATGTGCTGTAAATGTTAGTTACTAACTAACTGGTACCCACCAATGTAAAAGAAATATGTGTTTCTCCATTTCGCCTTTTTAGCCAGTCCCAGAGATTTCCATGCTTTGCTTTCTCCCGCCCCCCGTGACCGATCACTAGTGGATTGCATGTAACTCTCCTTACATCTCCTCCTTTGATTCTAATATATAAAATAAGCTGCAAAACTGCATTTCTCTGGAGCATTTTCTCAATCCGGTAGATTTTGCTTCCCGGCAACTGTCGTCAGTTTGGCTCAAATAAACTCAAAAATTCTCTACAGGTTTGGACGTGTCTTGTGTCAACACCTTCTCATGTGACTCCATCTGGGGAACCTGGGCCTTGTCTACAGCCACAGACACAGTTGTAGTGTTGATGTTAATGCTGCATGCTGAAAGTGGGAGTGCCCACTAGCAGTACCAAGACACTCCATATGTGAAAGTTCAAATCATTGCCTGCAGCCCTGTGCCCGAGCAGATAGCACACTGTGGGGTCAGCAGAGTTCACTGTGGCGGCAGCATCGGTGTTTAAGAACCGGATGATGATGGAGTAACAGCAAACGAGCCATCCTCAACTTTGCTTTGTTTTATGAGTTCGTATAAACATTTGAGCTGGCTCAAACTCAACCACTGGCAAGAACGGCTCTTTAAACATTCCAAATCTAAACGTGTTTCACTGCCTCTCTGCAGACACATTATTGGAAACAGTAATTTATTACAAAAGGAGCCCTCCGATGCAGTCACAGCCAAGTGTAATTGACAGGAATGATTTAACGCACCCTTTACTAGTACAATGCTGATATTGTAGTGCACTAGACCACAACACGATCTGGGCAAATTAACTCCTCCAAACACTCATCACAATTATATTTTTAAAATCTTCATTCTCTACATTAACTCTTTTGCTGGCCAGTCTACCTTTTTGACTGAATTAGAAAAGGAAAAAATACAGGATCTCACTTTCAGAAAGCCTCCGGACTTTTGACTTGTCTCAAGGCTTCCAAATTGACTAAATTATTTACATACCATATTCTTTCTCTAAAATTGCAATTTGACCTTAAGAAAACCACGAGCCCTAAATTAAATCAACTCTCTTTAATTTGCTGAATACTAAATCAATCAAATACAAGTACTAATTTTAAGGGCATATGAATCAAGTTCTTTTAGAAATGATGGACAAATTTGAACTAGAATAAAATAAATCAAATAAATAGTTGAATATGGCTGAAAATGAAACAATATTTTAGTCAAAAACTCTATTGTATAAAGTGCTTATTTAAATTTACATCATTTTATCCAAATATATGCTAACCTCCTGGATTACTATATTTGAATATAAGAGGGCAACACTTCTATTCTTATCACAAAGAAAGAATTTTGACCACAAACCTAAAAACCTAAAATCCAAATTTATCATTCATGAGATCTATTAAGAACGTGATAGGAAACTAACTACAAGAAAGAGGTTATTTGTGGGGCAATGTGTATACGGC